TACTAAACTTACTTTGTAAAAGCTATCTTTGAAATTTTTTAATGCAATTACTAATAATTTTCTTAATTAAAACTTTATAATAACTTTATTTTAATATATTATTGTAAAAATTAAAAAAATTTTATATTTGATTTGATTTGATTTGATTTGATTAGATTTGACAAATATTTAATTCAATTTAAATTCGATTCGATCAAATTCAAATTGATTCAAATTGATTTGATTAAATATTTAAATTTAATTTAATTTAATTTAATTTAATTCAATTTGAAAAATCAAATCAAATTTAAATTGCTTAAATATTTGATTTGAGTAGATTTTGAGAAACCCTAGCATTATCTGATTGGAATGATAATAAAATTATTCAAAAAGAATGATAATTTTGATCATTCCTTACAAATAATAACAAAATTGTTCTTAAGAAATGATTATGCATTATTTAAATAGAATGATAATAAAATCATTTCTTATAAATAATATCAAAAATTATTTTATTAAAACAATATTTTGATTGTTCTTTATGAATGATAATAAAAATGTTTATAAGGGATAATAATTTTATCATTCTTTACATAATTAAAATAGATTCAAATTAGCTAAATCAGATAGTTGATTGATAGATAGACTACGACAAAAAAAAGGGTTCTGGAACAAAATTCCAAATAGTATTCAATAAGTTTCCTGATCACTTATGAATTACTTTTAGCTATATGAATCAATTATCAAATTCAAACTTCTAGCATAATTTGACTCAAATCTAGATAATGATATCAAACTTGGCTAGGAATTAGCCTATCTAATACTAAGAATTACACTGTTTGATATAACCATTTTAGCCTAATTTTAATCACAAAATAATATATTAAAAAATTTTTACTATTCTATTTACCTCAGAAGGGGTCATCAAAAATTAAGGAAATAAGTGACGTGATTTGAGCTAGACTGGACATTGCAAACCCAATATGAATAATGATTTTTATATCATTTTGCTTACCTCTGGAGGGATCATTGAAAATCAAGGAACAAAGTGATACGATTTGAGCTAAGCCCGATCATACAAGTCTAAATGCATATCATATTTTCATGATATTATAGAATAAATTCTAAAGCTGATTCATATTCATCTAACAAGATCATAATTTCAGTACTCGCATTGAGATGGATACCAAAATTCTGTATGTATACAATAAAGTTTAAAAGCTATAGATCATATTCCAGTATACCAATAATTTCATAATATATAAGAATCAATTCTAAAGCCATTTCTTTCTTATAAACACTAAGTCAAAAAAATAATAATAGATACCAAATTTCCGAACAGGATACCATTTCTGATTAGATTTTCACTAGTCAAAAAAGGACAATTCAGCCCAAATTTGACCAGGCTGAATATAAGTCTAATGATGATCTAACATGTGCCAAATTAAGGTTAAATACTTTGGAATGGTTTGTCAGCCATTGGGCTTATATTCAGAAAAAAAATTTGGCAATTATTAGACTTAAATTAGAAACAAATTTGGCAATTATTAGACTTAAATTAGAAACAAATTCAGCAAACATTTAGACTTAAATTAGTAAAATTCGGACATTATTCGACACATAAACTTGCAAAAATTCAGCTTTTATTCAATTTAAACTAGTAAATAATTCAGCTTTTATTCAACTTCAACTTGCTTTTATTCGACTCACAAATTAATACAAAAAATAATATAAAATAATATGTTAATCGAATATATCTTCATCCTCATTGAATAAATACTCGAGATCATTGATATCGGCTTTTCCCTTTCCCTTTCCATTTTTTTGACTCCTTTTTGCTAATATAATAATGTAAATATAATAAATTAGTTTTAATCAATATAAAGAATAATAAAAATAACTTAACTTACCACTGTAGCTGAACTTTTTTCTTGCTCATCCAATTCTTCAGGTTAATTTTAGTTCATTTCCACCGAGTTTAAAAGGAAATCCATTCCTGCTAAATTATTATCAATCTGCCTTTCATTATCGCTACCATTGTCTTCATTATCATAGCCTTCGACGCCTTCGTAGTTTTTTATTTCAATGTAATTCAGTTTGATCACCTATTCAGAAACATTTTCAGGCAGTTCGCTCGATATAGAATATACGTCATCTTCATAAATTTGAGCACATTATTTTTTACATGTTGGATTTGATCAGAAACGGGATCCAATACACACCACAATAACCATTTTAACTATTAAAATACAAGTATAATTAAGACCTAATGAATACTTAAAATAGTTAATTAATAATTTTTGCCTTAATACCTTTTCAAAATGCCATTTATGATTATAAATGTGAATAAATCATTTATTATCAAATTTCTATCTGGTTTCATCATCAGTATCAGATTGTTCAACGGAATGATATCCGTTTTGTAATAGAATTGATAAAATTTCGTCTTTATTAAATTCTCAAATAATTTCATCATCATTTTCAAATAGTTTAATGGTGGTCTTTATTTGTCTGTTTTTTTCTGTCGAATGTATAAAGATTAATTATCAGATAACTTAAAAATGAATTTAAAATAAAATATTTCTCACATCATTAAGTTGTGCATTTATATGCATTCTTCGATCATCTTGATCCAATTTACCTGATTCTCATTTCTTCAAGTGATTTCTTTTGTGCTTATGGATCGAACATAGCCAATCTGACAATTGAGTGATAAATGGATTAAAGTGTTTACTTATCATCCTTTTTAGTTCGGGTATAGTTTCTTATATACTTTGTCTGATTGCTCACTATAAATACCTTATTATAATCCAGCTGATATTCGTCAGGTATTTGTCCTTTTAATAAGTTTTTCATCTCAGCCTAAATAATAAAAATAAATAGCAAAATATATATTTAATATAAATTTGACTGCAAATTTCTATAAAACAATCCTCACTCTTGCTTCATAAGCACTGCCTTTGTCTGGTAATTTTGTATTCGTTTTGGATGTTGACTTGACTCTTTTGTTTGGTTGCACAGTCTGTGAAGAATTGATTATACTTCGTGATATGTGGAATTGATGGTAATGTTTAAGTTCTGCGTTTAAATTCCTATTTTCTTCTTGTAACATTTCAGATTCGTTTCTGAAGAATTCATTAAAATTTCAAAGCACTGAGTTGTCTTCTTCAACTTGTCAGAGTCAACCTTCTAAATCCTCAATATTTCTTTTCATCTCGTTTATTTTAAGTTTTGTTGATTTAATTCGATCTGCAACTGATTCTTTTCCTTTTTTAGTTTTTCAACTTTTGAATTATCTATAATAATTCGAATACATATTGAATTACTGCTAAATATATATGTAATATAACAAACGTTAATACAAATTCAATTCACTTACCAGTTACTCCTTCTTAAAGATTTTGACTTGGTGATTAATAAGAAACATTAGTAGCACTTTTCAAACTCTTCGCGACATAACTTCTTGACATGTTAATCTTCACTGATCGAAATCAAAAAAATCAGACATGTGATAAATCATCTATCAATCGTCGTCAATCAGACATAATCATCAATGGCCAAAAATCAACCTAAATCAACCTGTTTGATTTATGGTTGATTGGAGTTAAGCTAAAATTTCAATTCTGATTGGTTCAATCAGATAATACAAAAATCATTTGATTAGAAACTTCATCCCAAAGGAACAATAGAAATTGTCCTTAAGAGAAGATACAAATCGTTTTTAAGAAACGATAAAGATAATCATTCCTTTTGGGATGATACATTATTGTTCAAGAAGAACAATTTAAAAAAATCGTCCCAAAGGGACGATAAATCTATTGTTTCAATAAGAACAATTAAAAATAGTCTCAAAGGGACGATAGATCATTATTCTTATTGAATGATCAAAAAATCATCCCAAAGGGACGATACATTATCATTCATTAAGAATGATTTAAATAAATCGTCTTAAAGGGACGATAGATCATCGTTCATTAAGAACGATTTAAAAAATCGTCCTAAAGAGATGATACATTATCGTTCTTATTGAATGATTTAAAAAATCGTCCTTTCGGGATGATAGATCATCGTTCTTATTGAACGATCAAAAAAATTGTTCCAAAGGAACAATAGATCATTGTTCATTAAGAACGATTTAAAAAATTATTCCAAAGAGACAATGGATTATTGTTCTTATTGAACGATCAAAAAATCGTCCCTTTGGAATGATACATCATCGTTTATTAAAAATGATTCAACATCGTTCCTTTTGGAACGATTATCGTTCGATTTGAACGATAAAATATCGTTCCTTTTGGAATGCATTAAGAACGATTCAACATCATTTCTATTAGAATGATTATCGTTCATTAAGAATGATTCAACATCGTTCCTATTAGAACGATTATCGTTCATTAAGAACGATTCAACATCGTTCGATTTGATCGATAAAAAGTTGTTCCTATTGAAACGATTATCATTCATTAAGAATGATTCAACATCGTTCCTTTTGGAACGATTATCTTTCTATAAGAACGATTCAATATCATTCCTATTTGAACGATTCATTGTTCCAATCAGATGATGCAAAATCATTCGATTAGAACGATCAAACTATCGTCCCAAAGAGACGATACACTATCGTTCAAATCAACATCATCATTCTAATCAGATGATCTGATTGGAACGATCAAATCATTGTCTCCTAAGAGATGATACAAATCATTCAATAGAAACGATGTTTTAATTGAACAATACAAAAATCATCCAATTGGCTAGAAAACTTTCAGATTAATCTGAAAAAAAATTTTCCTTTTTTCTAACCCTTTTCCTTTCTTTTTTCTGTATTTTTTTTCTTACCTTGAAGATTTTTCCCATTTTTTTTAAGAAAATTCTCATTTCAGAAATGTGGTAAATCATTCTTTGGATGAAAATTTACTATTTTTCTTATTTTTTCTTGTTTTTTTTAGGAAAATTTCACTTTAAAAATAAGTAAATCGGAAACAAGTTTTTGGGTGAATTTTCCTTTCTTTTTTTGTTTTTGTAGGAAAAT